GCGGGGAGGAGCGGCAGAGATGGAGGAAAAAATAAAGCATAGATAAAGGAAGGAGAAAGAAGGAAGGAAAAAGAAAAGGCGAAAAGGGGAAATATATATGGAAAGACAGAAAGGTAGAAACGAGAGGTCCTCGATAAATTCGAATCCTCCGCGACGCGATATATCACCGTCGTATAAATTCGTTACCCGGCAGCGACGCGTGCGATTGCAACAATAATATATTCATGCGGAGCCATTTTCGAGCGTGCACGAGAGCCAAAGCGGGTCCAAGTGGCGCCGCTGAATAATTCCAGCCGATTTGAATGACAATCGCGCCCTCGAAATACGTCGTCTCAGTGTAGTCCCTCGATTCCGTCTCTTTTCGCGGTGTACGTTTTATTCGCGCACCAACTTTCCCTCTTGTTTGGCTGATCGATACGACGTGACGAGCCGATCGGTGCGATCTTGAACGCGTGCCACGTATGGCGAACGGAAATGGCCATTAGATCATCTGAACGCGACAGGTTTCGCGAGAACGTACTTACGTAAGTTTGCGAGTGTTTTGAGAAACGGCGAAGAATGCTGAAGGGGAGATCTTAAGGGGTTAACGCGGCATATGGAAGAGATTTGTTCGCGATTTATAATAACTGATAATTTCGTCGACGATGCAGAAACTATCGTCAAAGCCATCCTCTTTATCAGTAGCGATAGAAAGGTTCTGGAGACGCGAGCTTCGATGTTGAAAATTCACAAAGCGAAAAGTGAAAAAATCTATCGGAAGAAATAAAAATCCTCGAACGAACGAAAGAATGCAAAGAGACAAATTCTTTGAGAAATAAAAAAAGGGAAAAAGGATTGAAAAAGCTTAGAAGATGATAAAAAGAGAGAACCAGCGTATAACGCAAAGATTTTATAGAAAATACAGCATCCCAAGAGAAGATAAACTGTCCTTCTTTGTATGTACGAGATGGTCATGCGAAGGGTCCAGATATTTCTTTAGCAAAATGGAATGGGCGCCTCTACTTTCCCCAGGACATTAATTCCAATACAAGAGACAACCCCCGACAGATAAAGTGAAACTGTCGGGTAATTGCAGTTGTCCAGGAATAGCCCATTTGATCTTCGTTGGAAGATACGAATCTAGGGAAATATGGGAGGAATAAAAGGAGAAAGAGGAGATGAAAGAGAGAGAAAGAGAAATCTAAAAGCCAGGATATTTTCTGGCCTTTTATCGGCAAACGCTCGCGAGTCCTGAACGTCAAAAGCATTGATTAAACTCGCCTTCGCACGAGAAGTTTTCTACCACCCTGTCACGAAGTCTCGTTGCTCGCGGTTAAACGTCCGCTGGCCGAGGGTCGAGGTTTCAGGCCGATTTCGAAAGTTTCACCCTCCACGAGCCTTAGCCGCAACAACTCAGAAGGGTGCAGGTTTCGTTAAAAGGGGATGAAAGTCCAGGACCGCGAGGACGAACAAATTCTTCCGCCTTTGAAAATCGAGACCGTGACCCCCTATCGATTTTATCCTGGAATTTGATTTGTCGCATCGCAAACGAAATTGGATGGTCGTCTGCCGCAATAGCTTCGAAGCAAGTGGAGAAGTTGGGAAACGGATAGCAATGATCTAGGGGGGGTCTACACCAAGAACAAAACCATTGAACGAAATGGATTGTACAAGAGATACAGTTTGGGTAAAAAAGAAAGTCAGCAAATTGAATTCACGGCCTACTTTTTGTTATATTAATTTTTATTATAAGAAATAGAAATTGTTTTCGAAACGTGAATTTAAGATTCTATATCGGGGTGAAACCACTAAAAAATTGGCCGAGGTCGAGATCATCGAGAGAAATGGGTTGTATTAGGTTGTCCGAAAAGTTTCTTTCTTTTGATAAGGTGAATTACGTATGATCCATTTCGTTCTATTTCTATTATTACGTTCGTACATAATTCGATAAACTAATATAAAACGAAAAACATTGTGCATCTATTATTTCCTTATAACCTAATACAAAAGACACAGTTTGGATGAAAATAGCCAAAAAATTTGATTTATGACCTATTTATTGTCGTGTCGATTCATACGTATCATAAGAAATTGAAATTGTTTGTGAAAGGTGACTTGAGTGTAAAGATCTAGGCCAGAGTAAAAACCATTGAAAACTTACCGTTCCCTTGGCATAATAGTTCTCCAGTTCCTTGAATAGGTCGGTGAATACAAAGGAGTTCTGTTCATAGAGAATTCCATAAGTCTTCTTAAACATCTCGTGGAAAACCTTTTTACTATTAGCGAGAAGATCCTTGAAGAAACCTGTGAAAAGAAAAAGAAAGAGAAACGGTTTGTCAAACAGTTTTGCCTCTGTGTTAATTAAAACTGTTTGAAACTGAAGCAATCTGAAAATATAAAAGACAAGATCGGTGGACACATTCAGGGAGGCTTCGCCCAACCATCGACATATAAATAATTTATACGAATGCCGATTAATTGATCTGGCCGAAAGGACGAACAGAGAACGTAATTTATTTAATTGCACGATGCTTCTGCATCGTTTTCCACCGGCCTCGTTGTAATAGGAATAATTTGTAATTGCAGAGGAAACGAATCGAATCGATCTACCTGTTAGAGACAAGGATGGGCCTATCACTTGAGATTTGCAAATCAATTACAGCCGCGACTTCAACTTTCTAGATTGATCACGCGTTAACAATGTTTGTTTCTTGTCGAATTATAGCGTCTGTACACTCTGCTCGCTATGTACCTAACTTGCAACCGTTAATTAACTACTTGCTTCTCGCCAGGATAAGGTGTTAACGAAGTTTGCGTAGCACTCTGTCTGAACTTTGAGAATGATTTCTGCCACTCATTTATCTTCACCTTATACTCTATTCATTTCGAGAGAGAAACGCAGAAAATGGTTGTGTTGCAAAATCGGTTTTATATGCAACAGCCTACTACGAAACAAGATTTCAAGAAAAAGTTCTCCTAATTAACACGCTAAAATATAACTTTCTTTTAGTTACGTTTGAGAAAGTAAAGAGAGCAAAGCTTTAGCAAGTTTTGGAATGGAAGTGAAACGTAAAGCAGTTGATCTTAAGAAGACTGTAGGGTATTTCTTTCCTTCTTAGCTACGTTTAACTCTAAGAATACGAAAGATTCGCGGATTCGTTGTGCTTGCGATCGAAGATTACGCGAGAGCACGACAAATCACATTTTTTATTTTCTACAAAGAAGCAGTTTTAAAATTCAGTATGGAACGTGCGAAATATATGTTTATCTATTTATTTACATCGCATCTTTATATAATAGTTTTATTACAATCATTTCGATAAAATCTATGTATTCTGTAGTTGCGATACCAGAGGAAGCAAAGTCTGTGTGCAACATGAAAGATAAACACAAAATGATTAATAGTCACGAAAAATGAGAACTAGAATTAAACCAAAAGCAGAGCAACCCAGAATTCGAAATTCTATCTTGAAATGAAATTCTATCGACAGAATGTATCTCTCTCAGTATACTTTCAAATCTGCCGAATATAACTGGTCATCAAATAGCCATTATCGCCCTGACACAAGCCACAGCTTTTCGTACGAAAAATTCTACGAAGAGAGCAAAAGCTTTCGATGAAAGAATATAAAGTCCCTGATTTCTCAAGCAACAGTGGCATCGACCGTTCGCTGAACACCGACAAAGACAGGGATGGCCCGTGCCACCCTCTACACGCGTAACCTCACGAACCAGTGAAGCTTGAACCAGTTCTTATCGTCACTTCAGTCGCGAAGAATGTGATTAAAATTCCTTTTAACGACGTTGGGAACCAGTGAAAGATAGAGAGAGAGAGATAGATAGATAGATAGAGAGAGAGAGAGAGAGAGAGAACAGGTAGGCGAGCTCCGTAACGAATCGTCGACGGCGACGTCGGCGACGACGGCG